ATTGCACATGAATTTTTGATATTCACAATTTCCAGCCAACTTATAGAATCCCACAATTTAAATACAGACACCATTAAAAACGCCCTATTAGTAGAGTGAGGATGGTTTTTTGGGCTTTTGTAAGGATTTTACTGGTGTCTCTGTATTGTAACATCGTAAAGCTTTTTCTAACAGAAGGTATTTTCATGTCTCATTTCACCACATATCCTGAAAATAAAATTAATCCTGATTTCAGAACCACAAAAAATTTTTTTTTCCTTATCAATTACCTATGCATTCAATATTGCTTGTATATAGTACAGATATACAGTAGCATAAAAGTAAAGAGCCATTTATTCTAAACTAAATACAGTTGCTTCAGGTTTTTTGGGCCAACATGAGTACAGTGTATGGAAAACATGCCTTCTATGAATTAGGTCTTTTGACCTTACAAAACATCATGAACCAGAAGGGTTTAGAGAGAAGATGTAAAAGGAACCACCAGATTCTGAGTGCACCAGTTTTCGTAAATCTACCCCTAAATGTCAGAACCATACAGACAGATCACTCTGCTGCAAACTGTCTGATAAGACATGCACTGTTGATAGTGCTGTCTGCCACCATTGCAATACAACAGAATTGCCAAGAGTAAAAAGATCAGCTCACAAGGGAAAGTGGTGCTAGCAATCCCTTTAATTTCCTGAGCTTTTAGATTACAATATCTATATAATGAAAAATATACCACTGAAGGTGTTTTGTTACATCAGCTCAACAGGTGCATACAAAATACCAATTGATCCTGCCAGAAATGCAGGCAGCTTGTAACTACCTGTACATTCTACCTATGCTACACTGAAATCCCAAGCAGTATTGTCAGCCCTATCCAGTTCTTTGTGGACTACAGTACACCTAACCCTTATGTTATAATGATCAGGAGTGAGGATGTATTCTATAGTCCTAAAACATTTCCTATTCTATGGTGAAAAAACTGTTTCTCAATAGATACAGTATGACAGGAAGTGCGTTACTAGTAGGATCACCAGATAGAAAAAAAAAAAAGGGGAAAAATCAGAAAATCGAAAACTAATATAGATACCACATTCAGGGGCTGGTAGACTGCTATATATTCTATTTTTTGCTCTTGGGTTTAGGTACACTTTGCTTGCTAGGTATTATGAACAACTATTGTTCACCAAATATTCCTGTGGAATTACCTAGAGTGTTTAGTCCCATTGTGAAAAAAAAAAAAACTTTCTATTTGTAATAACCTCTCACTTAATTTAGATTTAGAAAATCATGTGACTATTTCATTCATTTATTCAATGGAATAACACATAGGTTGATTTACTATCAACCTATGTTGATCCCACAGCTGCTCCAATGACCATAGGGAGTATGTAGTAGTAGTCAAAAGAAAAGCATAAAAGATCAGAGCGCTCGTGGCGAATGTCCAGAATAAAAACCAGTAATGATCATAACCAGCAGACAATATAAAACAGTTTAATGGAACAATGAAAGCAAGAATCACCATAAGGATGTATCCATGAATGGATGTCATACAAGGATCAGTGCAAACCATAGACTGAAGGAATGATGGGAGCGGCTTACTCCTTACTGGCCTGCCTCACCGCTGGCTATCCCCGCCTCAGTCGATCCTGAATACGGCTGCCAGACTCATTCACCTTTCCAACCGCTCCGTTTACGCCACCCCCCTCTGCCAATCCCTCCACTGGCTTCCGATTGCGCAACGGATCAAATTCAAAATCCTAACGCTGACGTACAAAGCTGTCCACCATACTGCCCCGAACTACATCACTGACCTAATATCCAAGTACCGCTTAGCACGCACACTCCGCTCCTCACAAGACCTCCTTCTCTCTAGTTCCCTGGTCTCCTCCTCCCATGCCCGCCACCAGGACTTCTGCAGGGTGTCACCCATCCTCTGGAACTCCCTGCCCCAACCCATCAGATTATCACCTACTCTCCTCTCCCTTAGGTGCACCCTGAAAACCCACTTCTTCAGGGAAGCCTACCCCACCCCCTGCTAACTTGCTGACCTCCTCCACTCTTCCTACCACTCCATCCCCCACAGCTATCTCCTCCTGTGCCACCATCCCCTCCCTCCTAGATTGTAAGCTCGAAAGAGCAGGGCCCTCAATCCCCTCATGTTTTTCATTGTATTGTATTACTATTGTTCTGTCCCCCATTGTAATGTACAGTGCTGAGCGAACTATTGGCGCTTTATAAATACTGAATAATAATAATAATAATACTAAAACTGGAGAGTGCAAAATCTGGTGCAGTTCTGCATAGAAGCCAATCAGCTTCCATGTTTTTTTTTGTCAAAGCTTACAGTAATTGAACAAGCTAACGTTAGAAGCTGATTGGCTGCCATGTAAAGCTTCACCAAACTTTGTACTCTCCAGTTTTACCCCATTTTATTTAATCAAAATCTCTATAGGTTTTATCACTTAGTAATGATAAATTTGATGTCTTACCAGAGCATCAAAGACAAGGATATCATACTTGCTTGAATGAGAATGCTCCATCATGATATTAAAAAGAGCATCAAGGGTGTCCTGAAGAAACTACAGATGAAACATTCAAATTATTGATGCCAACTAAATGCACAGACATATTTTATAGAAATAGTGCCAATACATGTCAACCACATCCATATTTACTGTCAGAATTTTTAATTCTTAGAAAAAAGGCAAAAAACAAAACAATGATTTGTTCTATCGTTTTATACAATAGTTTAATTTTGTGAGATGTCATTAAAAACACAAAATATCTAACACATACTGTAAATCACCTCATATAAAATTACATTCAACTACACAATATGGGAAAATATTAACAGTTAGGAAAACTGGGATAAGCCCATAATTGGGAGTTAATATATTTGCATACACACATTTGATTGACATACAAAGCCCCCCCTCCCCCCCCCCAAAAAAAAGATAAAAAAAAACACTGTATTGGCCCCAGAAGCCTCTTCTAGCCATCTAACCTCTTTTCTGAAAAAGCTTATTTTTTTATTTTTCACACACATAAACAATAAATAGTGTCTGAAAGCAGAGGGCCAGTATAAAAAAATGTTGCAATGCTTATGTTGCGCAAAGTTAATTGTCTGTGTCACTGGAGTATCTTCCTCTCTTTCTGTCTAAAACACCATCATCATTGAGACAGAAAGGTTTTGCTTTACGCATTCTTTAAAGCCCAAATGAACTGGAGCTTTTGAATCACCAGTATGAGTTCTGCAAATTACAGAACTATACTGTAGGTCTGACTTGGCATGGGACCTGTCAGACTTTTGTGCCAAGGTCCTCCTGTAAACCATGCTGGCAAGGCATGGGGTTTTCTACGCAGGTTATGGCTGCTTCCTATAGAAAACAAAATGTAAGACTTAGTTGACACAGCTGGAATGTATTTAGCTGATTTACACTGAATGTTAAATGGTCTATGGTATATAGGAAAGCCCAGTTCCTTCATCATGGATTCATCCAATTTTATCCCCCCCCCCCCCCCCCACGCTCACATCCCCAGATTTTATGATTACATACTTTGACAACTTCTTCTCCATCCACAATTTTCAGTTTTTTCCAAGTTTTCCTGCAATAGTTCTGGCTTCATGCGCCATTTTAGAAGTCCAAGAAGGCCAACTAAAATAAGAGTTTTTTAATAATAAGAGAAAAAAAACACATTTATATATTTCTTCAATGTGCAGTTCTACAATACAAATATGGGCATACATCTTTAAAGCACATAAAAAGTACAGTTCTAATGTCCATAAAATGTTGTAATATGCCAGAGTTCAAAAGTAGCACAGTATAAACGTTCCTACACTTGTGGTTGGACTGCCCAGCTACCCGCCCTTTTTGGTTTGCCATTCGGAATATTATTCATGAGGTTACACAGTCCCAATTGGCAGACAATCCTTTACCTATACTATTTCATGACACAAAGCGATTGGTTGGGTCATATAAATGCTCCTTGATGCCCCATCTCCTCAATGCTTGTAAATGTCTTATCCCAATTCACTAGAAATCTCCTGTAGTACCCACAGTCAAAGAGTGGCTGCAGAAGGTACATGATATTATGGAGGCTGAGGAGTGGAGACATCAATGTGCACACACTTATGACAAGTTCTATGGGTGTTGGGCAATGTGGCTTGATTTTCTGACCTCTGACATTTAGACAACTAATGTTGTAATTGTAGTATTTCATTCTGAATGTCATGTTTCTGTTATCAGTCACTTTCAGGGACTTTCTGGCCAGGACAGGTTATGTATACTCTCTGTTTTCTATGGTAAGCTTTTCTTCTGTTTACCCCCTTCTTGGTTCACTACCTTTTCCCCCCTTCCCCCTCTTTTCCCTCTCCTTCCTCCCTACATTTCCCCTTGGTTTCTGTACAGCCTTAACAGGATCATCCAACGAGGTTTGTTACTAGTTGGTCGACCTCTGCAGCATGTTATATTTTTGTGGTATTTCTTCAGAGGCTGTTATGGTCTTCTCCTTGGGAATGTATATATTGTCTCTTTTTTGTACTGACTTTTGTGAAAATAAAGATTAAAAAAAAAAAAAAAAAAAGTAGCACAGAATTATTACATTTTACTAGGTGTTTCGTGAAAACATTTCCATGAAGTTGCTCAGGATATGTTCTATTCTCTTATTTATCATAAGGTAATGTTTCTTAGTTAATATATATAGTATACATATATACTCTATATTGCCAAAAGTATTGAGACACCCCTCCAAATCATTGGATTCAGGTCAGCATGCAGACTGCTTCTACAAACATTTATCAAAGACTGCGTCACTCTCAGAAGCTCAGTGAATTCAAGCGAAGTACCGAGATAGGTTGCCACCTGTTTATCCGTGAAATTTCCTTGCTACTAAATATTCCACAGTCAACTGTTAGTGGTATTATAACAAAGTGGAAGCAACTGGGAACAACAGCAATTCAGCCACGAAGTGGTAAGCCACGTAAAATGAGAGAGCGGGGTTAGTGCATGCAGAAGTCACCAACTGTCTGCAGAGTCAATAGCTAAAGACCTCCAAACTTCGTGTGGCCAGATTATCACAACAACATTGCTTAGAGAGCTTCATGCAATGGTTTTCCATGGCCGAGCAGCTGCATCCAAACCTTACATCACCAAGTGCAGTGCAAAGCATCAGATGCAGTGGTGTAAAGCATGCAGCCACAGGACTCTCAAGTTAGGGGTGGAGTAACTTGACTGGCCTGTACAAAGTCCTGACCTCAACCTGATAGAGCACCTTTGGGATAAATTAGAGTTGGACTGCAAGCCAGGCCTTTTCGTCCGACATCAGTGCCTGACCTCACAAATGCGCTTCTTGAAGAATGGTCAAACATTCCCACAGACACACTCCTAAACCTTGTGAACAGCCTTCCCAGAAGAGTAGAAGCTGTTATAGCTTCAAAGGGTGGGCCAACTCCATATTGAACCCTACGGACTAAGACTGGGACACTATTAAAGTTCACATGCGTGTAATTGGCAGGCTTCCCAATACTTTTGGCAATATAGTATATGTGTATATATATATATATATAAATATATATATATATATATGATTTGCTTGGTACAAATTAGAGAAAAAGTAGTACTTTTTGTGTAATTTTTCACAACTTTTGCATAATTTGCAGGGCTTTGGTACGTTATGACTAAATATCACATAAGTGCATTTTAAATTTAACAAAAAGGGAAAAGTATAATTCAAAGTCAAAGATCACTTTTCTAGTTAGGAGATATTTTTTTCCATTTTGATGTTCAAGCACAATGTGCCAAAGAAAGATACTCTGTTGAAAGTTGTTAGCATAACATTTAGATGAGATCAAGTCAAGATTTTGCACTCAAAAGTTAGCATGAGAGCAAAATTGTCACAGGCTTGTGATTCCTGAACTTCCAAATGACTTAGTGCGTTCTAGCCTACACAGATGTTCAATAATGTAAGAAGCACAGATATCATATAAAGTATCTAATGTGTTTGTGGTAACCTGAAGAAGATTGAAAAGTGGTGACATTTTGTTATTAATTTTTCATTGTGTCATTCACTAATTTTTTTAATCTTCCTGCACTCAGTCTCAGGTACAGCTAGCAGCAGGGTGCTATAGGAGATCAGGTACATGTGAAGCAAACTGATACCTTCCTAGAATAGCTCCATCACCTCTGGCAGAGACAGAGGTGCTGGTGCAGCAGATGGAGTACATTTTGGTAGCTCTCAGTCTATTTTGTGTGCTTTGCCTACAGTAGGTATTGTACACTGCATTAATGGTGCACACAGCACTAACAATGATTTCATTACATGTTTGCATTCTTTCAAGTCCTGATTAGAAATTAGCCTGCCTATGTAACCTCCTTGTTACCATAAAAGTATAACTGTAATTATAATGTGATATCTATGTAATCATGTATATAAAAAAATTTTAAATGCCCCAAATAATTAGAACAGTTATTTGGAAAGATGCTGTGTGTATCTTTTTGTGTCTGTTTCCTACTACAGAAGTTATTATTAATTTAGAACCACTAATCAATATGATAGGAGTTGCCTATCAATATAATTTTCAGTATTAATGTCCAGAACAGTAGTGTTATGGACACCAAAGGTGGCTCTCTGCATTTTCCCACTAACCACTAATGAAAAAAAAAAAAAAAAAGACTTTTTACATAGGGGGTCTGAGGGAGGCAGAATGCTCCTTACACTGGTCGTCAGTAGTAAGGATGCACCATTCTTCCTATTGGCCAGAGTTGTAAGAGGTTTTCTTCCTTTCAAAGATCGCCAACGTAAGGCTCATTATTGCCATTGAGCAGCAATGTAAAACACATTACTCCCACTGACAACCAATTTAATGATTATTATTCTCACCAACCATATGACTTTGTTCCCACTATCAATTACATTTTCTAACTGTCTCTCTGCTTTTTCCCACAGACCAATTATATAAGAAATGCTCTTTACCTTAGGGGTAAGTGAAAAAAAGCATACGCCCTACTTCGGCGGCCGAAGGATTTTTCTTTTTAAAGAAATTTAGAGGCATAAATTGGTGAGGGGATCCGGGTTTATGACTAATATGGAGAAAACAAATGTTTTCTTAGAATCTTAATAAGTTTTGCCTGGGTCCTGGAGCCCAGGGGCTTTGTAGGGGTCTAAGATCAAAAAGCCCCTTTCCTAGGTCCACATCTTACCTGATAGCCAAATCTAATTATTAGTTTCAACTTTCCACAGGCCTTTATATGCGAAAGTTGACTGATGCTCAGGGCTCATTCTCTCACTGTCTCTGCTGTAGGAGCCTGCTGCTATGTCAAAAGACTGACTGCTGGCACAACATTAAAAAGGTACAAGTGCTGCCTGTTTGGTTTATAGCAGGGGTCTCCAAACTTTCTAAACAAAAGACCAGTTTAGTGTCCTTCAGACTTTTTAGGGGGTCGGACTGTGGTCAGTGGTAGTAGAGAATGGCCTGGTGTAAATGGGAGGAAACACTGCCACATCATTGCCAGTGGGAGGAATAGTGCCCCATTGTTTGTGTCATTGGGAGGAATTGTGTCCCATCCTTGGTGTATTGGTGTCACTGGGAGGAGTTGCGCCCCCATTTGGTTTCCTTGGGAATAATTGTGCCCCTTATTTGGGGTCAGTGGGAGGAATTATTCCCCCATGTTGGTGGCAGTGGACAGTAATAGTGCTCCAAGGACCTGATAAAAGAAAGCAAAGGGCTACAGTTTGGAGACCACAGTTTAGAGGAACCCATTTGGGGCACCCTGTTAATCAGGACAGGCAGTGATCTGCTCAGACAAGTAGATGTTTTGTTTGTTTTTTTTTTTTATATGGACTTGCTGTACAAAGCCTTCCTAAATTGAAACTATGTTTGCTACCTTTATGAATAAAGGGCAGGGCAAACCTGTTTGGAGTGTTCCTGGGTATCCCTGTGTCATATATGGTTTTTACTGCTGCCAATGCCAATTGAGTCTGTTCCCCTAACAACTGAAAAACTAGCAGGGATTACCCAATTAATGAAAAATTGAAGCTGATATTTGGCAGAGGATGCACCATTTAAATGAAAAAAAGCCTAAGCAGCATTGTAATGGACTTACCATTCTGTGTCAGTTTGGTAGAACATACAAGAGTTGAGATTGAAAAAGCATCACGTGAGCTAACAGACAACCCTCCAGAGCTGCTGTTGCTTCTGCTGAATGTTGAGCTCTTAGTGTCCATTTGATGGCGAGTGGAAGGAAGGGATAAATACGTGCTGGCATCTTCCATCTTCTTGCTGTCACCCTAGAAATGGTACCCCATATGTATAAATTATAAGATGTATGCAAGTATTTGTTAATTAGTTGGTGTTCTCACACCAATGTTCTAAGAGATGGCTATGTAACACATGTAAGAAAAACTGCAAAAAAACTGTGCATACCACCTGGTGGATTAAGTATCAGAAGGCTGCCAATGGATAGTAGAAAACCATGTTGTCTCTGAGTTTATTTGAATCAGACACAATAGATCATCATACTCAATGTCTTACTGTGAAGGGTTTTTTGTGTGATACATAATATGTGATTTACTGAGTAACTGTACATGTTTTATTGCCAAGTCCAGTATGTTGACTGCACTACTAAAACCCTGAAAGAAGGATAAATGACAATATTGCAGATTCCAATAGTCCTCTAGCTAGTCCATCAGTTCATTCCAAACACTTCTAGGGGATTAAATCAGGAGGATGGAGCAAAAGACTTCATAAGACAAAATCAGAAACCACACCATTATACAGATCCTTGTATATATAGGTAACCAATGTTACCTATATATACAAGTAGATATAGAATAGCCATGACATAGGATGAGTGAAAACAAACTGTGCAGACTACCTTGGGTGGCAATACATAGTGGTGCTTTAAAGAACCCTTTATATATTAAATATTTGCACATAAATATGACCTAAAGCAGGATCTGTTTTACATGCAACTACTAAAACTACAGAATGAGATCCCAATATAACAAAGGACTCAAACATAGAATGCTAGTTAATTTGTTGTATATACTGAAGGAAATTATCCAAAGCTATTGTAAATATTTGTATGTGGCAAAAGTATTCAACACTTTCTTTCAAGTTGTAGTAAAGTATATCACTTTATTTTTTTAAACAGTAACCTGCAGTGTTATGCCATAATGGGCACAATTCACTAAAGCTTATCACAGGAGTTAAGTCAGTCACATGACCACATATCGCATGCGATACTGAAAATGTCAATTCACTATTGCTAGTATGCGGTATTTACAGAAAATAGCACAAACACTCAGTAAATACTACATAAAAAGACCTCAAAGTCAATTCACAAAAGGAAATAAATAATTAAATGCACACTGCAATTATGCAGTGGTCCAGGCATGTAGTATGTACTGGTATCTGTCAGTACTGTCATAGGTTGTTTAGGAATGGGAGGCCGCGGAAGTCCTTAACAACCTATGAGTCATCAGCTGTCAGCAGGGTTCCCCACTGACAGCTGAGTGTAAAAAAAAATTGCAGGCAATTAAAAAATAACTAAAAAATGGCGTGGGGTCCCCCTCTCCATCCATACCAAGCCCTTCGGGTCTGGTCTGGGTTTTTAGGAGAGCCCCCATGCCAAAATGTAAAAAAAAGAGTGACATCATTGACCCAGCATGCCCCGGTTGATGATGTCACAAGGGGTGGGGTCACACACGTCATGTAACCAGGTGGCCCCGCTTCTTACATATGAACTGTCAAACCAGTGGAGCAGTCAGCTGGTGGGAGCCCACGTCGAGAGTAGAGCCTTTTTTTAAAAGTTTTTTGGTAGCGGCTGCCATCATGATTGACATTGGATCTACTTTGGAGACATTCTTTTATTTTCCTTCTTTTAGAAAAAGACTTGTCAAAGGCTGTCTCCTGTCTTTTTTCACACTACAGTTCTTTTTTTCATGAATGGGTAGCGGTACCCATTCACATGGGGGGGGCTGGATCTAGGGGTCCCCTTGCTAAAGGGGGCTTCCAGATTTTGATAAGCCCTTGCCTGCAGA